AGCAGTGCCGAGGCTGAATTGAGTGCTTTGGTAGAGACTGTGAAAGAGGCTTTGTTTGCAGGGTTGCTTCAACAGTCGTTTTTGGAGGGATTGCCTGAGGATGATACCGGAAGCTTTTGGATCCGGATTTGTACCGATTCTGAGTCGGCAAAGGCGATTGCTTCAATGGAGGGACTCTTGAGAAGGGTTCGTCACCTGGAGTTGCGGTGTGCTTTCCTGCAGCAGATGGTTCAGTCGGGGAGAGTGATCCTCGAGTTTGTGGCCGGAGCATATAATGCCTCCGACGGCCTGACCAAGAGTATGGTCTTTCAGGAGCAGCTGGACAACCTCTACGAGGTAACCGGTTTGGTTTCTTTTGAAGACGAGTTGGGTGAGTTTGAGCTGGAACGCCTGACTGCAGAAGAGCCGGTAAACCGTTCTTTTGTTCCTGAGGAGTACGTTTCACTGTGTGAAGCTGTGGCGAAGAACCAGGTCACCTTTGTGGTCGTTGAACTGTTCTGCCAGGAAGAAAGTGCCTTACAGAAGGCATGTGAGAAGCTTGAGATTGCCTATGTGGGCATCACTGAAAAGCTTGACTTTTGTTCTGAGCAGACGCAGTGTTTTCTGAAGGAGTTGTTTTCTGTGTTGAGTTGTGGCTTGAAGACTAAGATCTACTGCCATATCTCCACTCCCTGTACCACTGGGTGTCGTTTGCGTTACCGCGGGTGGCGCAAGTACAGTCAAGAGAAGTGGGAAGAGAAGAAGAAGTTGCATCAGCGTGCTTGGGAACTTCTTGAAGGTTTGTTGAAACCGGTTGCTCGGAGTGAACGCTTGTTGTTGACTCAAGAGTGGCCTCTGCAGAACGACCTCTGGAAGGACCCGCGGTATCTTCAGGTTGCTTCAGAATTGGGGCTTTCTGAGGGTATTGTGGTAGACCGCTGTGCGTACGACTGTGTGTTTAAACGGTGGTACTTTGCCACGAACAGTAAACGCTGGGTCAAAGTGTTTCCTAAAAGGGATTGTGACCAAGTGCATGAACATGTACAGGTGGAATTAAAAGATTCAGGGTTCTATCCTGAAAAGCTAGGTCTAGAGCTTGTAAAGTGTGCTCAAAAGACACTAGGTGCCGCATCAGTCCAAGAGGGGGTGTGAAAATCCCATTTTTTGGCTCAAGCTGTTGTGGTTCAAACTGGCGAGTGGACGCTTGTTGCCGTCGTGGCTGGGTTTCTGAGGCCGTAACTAAGGGTGGGCCCTCAAGAGACCTCATAACCAATCTCTGTGTTTCCTCGTAGGCGGGCTGACCCGCACGGGCGCGCAGGGGTAGCGGCAGTTCCAGGGAGAGCCCTGAAGTGCATTAGAGTAGCGCCATAGAGCCGCAACACTTGAAACTGCTTGCAAACTCTTCTTGCAGCTTGTGAACCAATCCTTGTTTTCTTGTGCAGAATTTTCTTGGATTTGGGCCTTGCAAAATTGCCCGTTTACTTGTTGCAAAAGTACAGTTGAGGAGTCTTTCTTGCAGGCTTCTTGAAAGGAGGCCATCGCAGAGCGCGCAGGCCCACACAGGGAAGTGATGCCAGTCAAGATGTCCAGGCATTACACCGTCTGTGGCTGCGGATCGTGGGTGTGGACGGATCGGATTGGCCCTCACAGGCCATGTTGCCAGCACTGTGGCAAACGCTGGCCACAGAAAGGACCAAAGCAGGGAACGACGCAGGATCCGCAATGGGGTCCGTCTGTGAGAGTGTGGAGGTCTCCCGCTGCTGCACAGCAGCCCGAGTCCAAGACGCCGAGACCCCCGCGCCAGAACCAAGCGCAGAGGGCATTGACAACCATCTGGGAATCCTTGCCTGAGCACGCGCGCCAGCAGATTGAGGAGGCGGGGTGGAGACCTAAGATCCCTCAGCCCCCGCCAGGCCTATTCAGGCAAACCAAAGGAGGTGCAGGCAAAGGCAAGGGTGCAGTTGGAACAGCGGAAGTCCGGGATGAGGCTGCTCAGGCTGAGGCTGCTCGGTCCCTGTTTGCCTCGGTGAGCGAAGAGCAGCGTGAGCTTCTATGTAAGCTTGGCATCCAAGAGCCCGAGGTGCAGCCTCCGGACCTTGCTTCATTGTGTAAGCAACACATCCGTGCCTTGCCAGCTGACATCCAGAAGCTGCTGGAAGACCCTCCTGAGCGGCCACCCACGCCTCAGGAGGTCATGAGCGAAACAAGCAAAAAATTTAAAATTGCCACTGCAGAATTGAGAGACCTTATTTTCCGCAAAGCTGCCTTGCAAGTGCGTCTTGATAAGCATAAAGAGCTGTACTCCACCATGTTGTCAGACATGAAGTCCATCAATGAATCCTTGGAGGAGCGACAAAAGCTGGTGGCTACCTTGCAAGGGGAATTGCAATCCTCGGTTGCTGGGGTCCCGGCCCCTGAGGCTTTGCCTGAGGCAGCAGAGGCTCTTGCCAAGCAGGTTGAGGCCATGGATGTTGATCAGCTTGACGACTACCGGCAGCGCCTTGTTGAAGCCATTGATGAAGCTGTAAAGCGCAGGCGCGTGGATGCACCGGCGCAGAAGGCAGCGCCGACAAGCCCTCCTCCAGCTGGGCCAAGCCAGCAGGAGGCCGCTAAGGAGGATGACAGGGAGAAGGGCAAAACCAGGTCCCGCAGCAGGGGCCGCAGTGCGCAGCAGGGTTAGGGGTCGGGGATTAGGGTTCTTGACTTCGGCGTTTCTCGGGTTGTTTCTTCGCTTTTCGGTCATAGCCGTACTTGCCTTGTTGGTGGATGCAGCGTGGAGCCAGCTCAGGAATCAGGTCGAGGCGAGGCTCTTGAATCCCAGCCTCTGGAAAAGCTTTTGGTTGCTTGCACCTTGCAGTCGGATCAGTCCGTTGTGCGGCCACCTCAGCTCTGCCCAGTGCTTATGTTCAGCCAAGCAGAGTGTTGCCCCATCTGTGCTGTCACGCTGTGCCGAGAGCAGCCTTGTCCAAAGTTCCAGGAGTTCCAGTTTGATGCTAGTTGTGGGTCGGTGTGTGCATTGTGCCTCCGGGCGTCAGGCCGCGTGCGCAGTGGCGTATGGACACCGGCCGAGCGCAGTCTTGGGTGCGCAGGCCAGCCAGAGCCCTCTGTGGTGCAGGGGTGGTTTGTTGGGGTTTCGGAGATGGGATTGGGAGCGTTAGAAGGGGCGTTGCAGTTTGCATGTCAGGATTTGTGTTGTGCATGCTGCCACGTGCCCCTAACGAGACAATCTTCCTTGACTGAGCTTCCCTTGCCACCTTTGTGCCAGCATTGTTTCCCGCGAGGTGGCACCACCTGTAGGCTGAAAAAACGTGCCATTCTTGATCCTTATGTGCTTTCAGGTCAACCTGTGCACAGGGTGTTAGAATACCGAGTGCAGGCAAGTGGGTGCCGCGTCAGGCTGGTTTCGAGCAATGCTTGTTTAACGGCCGACTCGGGACCCTTTTGGCAGTGCTTGAGCAAAGATTTTGACATGGTTTTAATTCCGAGCCCTAACCTGTGCGCTTTTCCCAGAGCTGAGGGCCCGAACCCCAATTTGCAGTTGCCAGGCCTGTGTGAGGTCGATTTGGGCAGCAGGTTGGATGCGGGTTTTGACCCGAACATGGGGATTGCCTTGGATGAGGGCTGGGACCTCAGCTCCTCGAAGGGGTGTGAGATTTCCTCAATCACCCGTGGCCTCGAGGAGGAGACAACCACGAGTGAGGTTTCATTTCCTTGCCCGAACCCGTGTGCTTCCCCTCCACCTGAGGGCCCTAACCCCAATTTCTGTTCGGCTGGGAGTGTGCCGGAGTCTTTATCAGCTGATGGCCAACTTGAGCAATTTTCTCCAATACAGCGTCTACAGGGAGCCCCCAGGACCCCCATGGCGGTGGGGGTCTTTACCAGGAGGGGGAGTCTTCATCAGGAGGTGGGGGGGCCGCTGGCCCGGGGTCCTGGGGGACCGAATGTGATGCCAAGCAATGATGGCTGTCTTGAATTTATCCCCAGCCCTGACCCGTGTGCTCTCCCTCTTGCGGAGGGCCCTAACCCACCAGTGCGCCGGACCCTTGATTATCAACTTCCGGCCAGCTCTATCCGAGATCGGTGTGTGTCAATGAAGAGTTGGATCACTGCATCTTCGGAGCCTGTGTGGCATGTTTGCAAGCCCAAGTGCGGGCTCAATTCCCTCCCGAACCCGTGCGCATCCCCTCCTGCTGAGGTCCCTAACCCCAATTTGACCAGCGAGGCCCTGCAGGAGCAACTCAGAGGTCTTGAGGCGGATGGTTGGTGCATTGGATGTGGCCAATCACCGGTCTTAGGGCGTAGTTCGAACCAGGAGGTTAAAAATTTTGTGCAGGCATGCTGCCACGTTCACTTGAATGCGCCTTGTGACGAAATCCTCACTGCTCTGTCTGATGTCTTGAACTACTGCCCGAGGTGCTTATGCAAGTGGGAGGCCAAGGTCCAAACAACGTGCAAGCAGCCCAAGGATCTGGTAGCATTGTCGGGTCCTTCATACTTTTTTGATTGCGCTGAGGCCCCGGAGCCTGATGAACTTACTGATGTCACCAGTGTGCCGCTACATGCACAGGTTCTGCAAACACATGTTGGGGCTGTTTCCTGTAATATATTGCAGGGCAAAATTCCAGCTTCGCGCCGGACCCGGCGCCGGCACAACCGAAGGCTCCGTCTAAACCCCGATGTGCGCCCTCTTGGCAGCATTCGGGCGACCTGCCAATCTGCTTTGCATTCCTCCTCAAATGGCCATTTTGGCCTTACTGTAGACCCTCCCGAACCCATTCTTCCTGCCCTCTGTGTGGCAGGGTCTACAGTCATAAATCACTTTTTGGGGCATCCCCAGCACCCTTGTTTGATGTCCGAGGAGCGCCTCCCGGACACTGCTAGTCGCGACCCGCTGGGCCAGGGTCCGGATGATGATAGATCGCAAAACTTGTTGAATCCCAGCCCGGCACGCGACACTCAGCAGTCGCGGGAATTTTGCAAGGTGCAGCCCGAAGGGCCGGATAAACATGAGATGCAACCCGATGTGCGCCCCGGTGGCTGCACTCGGGAACGTGCAAACTGTGGCGACTCGCGTGATGCCATTAGCACCACGACCTTCAAAAGCTCCAGCAAACATTCACTTTGGAATGACGTCAAAATTGGCCTTGCAAGAGCCGGCCGTTTTAGAGGCGATCTCCCGGTTGGAAGACACAGGCTTGCTGCAACAGCAAACTTTCGAATGGAACGCCGCCGAACTGGTCATGGATTCACTTCATGGAGAATGTGGCCCAGCGGCAAAATGGGCCGTGGAGGACGTTTTGGCAAACCTGAAGTGCCGCCCCAGCAGGCAACCGGTTCGCATCACATGTCTTAATGTCACCAAATGGCGTAAAGAGCTGGCTAGTTGGATTGCGAATTTAAGCCCGGACCTCGCCCTCCTTCAAGAGACCCACCTTGATGCTAAAGATGTCAGCCTTCTTGCTGCCCATGCTGGGATGTTCGGGTATGAGGTCTTTCAGTGCCCGGCTGTGGCCACGGGCAAAGGGGGCAACACCGGGGGATTGGCAATCTTGCACCGGAGACACCTCGATGTGTCACAAGTCACGAGCCACCTCGTTGAAGGTAATGGTTACCAAGCCGCCATGTTCAGGGTAAAAGGCTTTGATCTTTACGTTGTCAACGTGTACTTGAAATCAGGCGAGGGATTCCAGAGCAGCACCAATGCCGGCATCATTGCATCGCTTCTTTCCTTTGTTCGATCCGTCAGAGGTGCCTTTGCGATTTTGGGTGACTTTAATGAGGACTTTGAAACCCTAAGTTCCACCCATATTGGGGAGGAGGCGCGTGCGGTGTGGGTCGGACCAGGCACGTCCACCTGGTCTGGCGGAGGCCAAATTGATTTTGGTTTAATTTCGAATAGCCTGGCAACTTGTGCAGCGGTGCAGCTGGACTGGAACACCCCGTCAAGGCCGCATGCAGCTTTGCATTGGCAGCTTGATGTTGCCCTGTTGCATCAAAAAATGCCGCAACTCAAGGGTTTCAAGCCTGCGCAGCTCGATTCGCAGCCTTTTCAGCTAAGCACCGACAGGCCAGAGGTCACCATCTTAGATGAGCAGGTTACCGACGAATTGACACTTGATTTTGCGGCTTTAAGCTGTGCTGTTGAAATGTCCGTTTATGGCCAGGCTCAGGGAAGAGGAGCCAACATTCTTTTGCATCGCGCGCCATTGCCTGTGCAGGGCGCTCCCAACGCTGGTTGGGGAGGTAAGGCTTCGGCTTTCTGGTGCAGATTCTTAGGTTGGATCAAAACTGTGCGCAACTCGGGTTGGCATGTGAGTGGTTTCGGGCAGCAAGCAGGGGACCAGCTCAAAGATGTATGGTATGGTGATGCGACCTCCTTACAGGATTTTGCCAGCGCGCTTGCAAATGCCAGTCAACAATGCGACCCTGCGGCTCTCCTTGCATTGGAACCTGTAGCCACCGCGCAACACAGGCATCACACCGAGGCTTTTAAGCAGGCTAACACTAAACAATACACCAAGTGGCTGAGTGCTGCCTTGGTAAAAGGTATGAAGCCTTTGTACAAATGCCTCAAAAGTACGGAATCCCCTTGTGATAGACCCTTTCGAAATCTTTCATTGCAAGATAGAGTGTACCAAAGATGGAAGCAGTGGCACGACATTTGGTGCCAGCCGGTCACTACGGACCCGCATTTGTTGGCAGAGGTCAAAGCCAGAGCCATCGATCAAGCCAAGCATTTGCCGCCCATAAATTTTGAGAAGGCTGTAAAACTTTTCAAAAAGTTTCCAGCGAAGGCTCCTGGGGCCGACGGCTGGACAGCACAGATGCTAAACAACTTGAGCGAAGAGGCAGTCCGGGCTGTTATTGATTTCATGCACGCTTGCGAGGCTAGTGCAGAGTGGCCAGCACAGTTTGCCATTTCCTTGATAGCATGCCTGCCCAAAAACACACTCCGCGAGAGGCCAATTGCCTTGCTCCATGTGCTTTACCGCTCATATGTGCGCCTCCGTTTCTCCTTGATAAACCAGTGGCAGCAGGAGTATGCTAATCAATGCCACTGGGACCGCTCCCTGCCGGGAGGAGCCGTACTTGACGTCGCATTGGGGAGACTGGTCCGGGGGGAGTGTACTCGGCATAACCGGTTACACATGGTAACGCTCTTTTTAGATTTAGAGACCTTCTTCGATCGTTGCCGGTTCGATGAAATGTTCCGAACGGGACTCAAGTTGGGCTACCCGCCCATCATATTACACCAGGCCTATCTGGTTTACAGTGGAGCCAGATATCTACAGGCCGAAGGCACGGTCGCACCGGTCATCAAGGCCAATACCGGACTCCTGCCAGGATGCCCTGCGGCACCCTCGATAGCGAAACTCATCATGCATGATGTTGCGGCTGAGCTTAGTGTCAAACCAGGAACGTCCAACTTGGATGTTTGGATAGATGATCTTAGTCTTGATACGGTTACCGCAGCTCCCAAGCAAACTGCTAGCATTGCTTTGCGCTTGTTTCGAGGTCTTCGCAGTTCCCTGGAGTCCAGGGGCGCACAAGTTGCCATCAGCAAAACTTCCTTCGTTGCCACGTCGTCTGAGGCTTGCAAGGCCTTGAAGGCAATATGCCAACAGGATGATCCGGCCATTAAAAATTTCGCCCGCGACCTAGGGGTCACTTCCGGGGGCACTAGAAGACGGCTGTTAGGCTTAGCGGCAACCAGACAGGCCAAGGCACAAGCCCGTAATAAAAAACTTTGTAGTCTCAGGGTGCCCTTTGTGTCTCATAAGATTAGGGTGGTCAAAGCGTCAATCATGTCAGCGGGCCTCTGGGGACACCAGGCCCTTGGGGTGAGCCCCAAGAGGCGCAAGTACTACCGCGCCATTTGCAGCAAACATGCTGGTCGACAAAAACTAGGATCGGTTGATCTGACTTTTGCCTTGAATCATGCCAAATGCGAAGACCCGACTTTCACCATCATGCGGCAGCATATTAGGGCTGTTTTCCGTGTCTTTAAAAAGTGGCATCGTGAGGATGGGCAAAAATTCGCCAGCACTTGGAAAAGCATATGGAATCACTTGTCCAAAGCAAAAGACCCTTGGAAGAGAGTCACCGGACCAATTGCTGCCACCCAAGCTTATTTGATTGAGTTGGGAGTGGAATGCTCACAGGTGCATCTGTGGCGGCATGCCAAAGGTAACCTTCAACTCGACTGGACCATTTCTGATGTCATCCGCAGCGGCTGGGAGTGGGTGCATAAATTACTGCTACACCAGCAAGGGCTTCGCATTGCCCAGCAAGAGGGTTGTGGTTCGCTCGATCAGGGCACTGACTTCACTGTCCACCGCAAGTTGTTGAAGCGCAAACACGTGCAGAGAGCTACCCTTAGCAATTTGCATGCGGTATGGCAAGGAGCGATGGTTTCCTCAGCCAAACCAGGTTGGTGCAAGCTGTGCCAGTGTCCGCTTTCTTTGCAACATAATCTTTGGGAATGTCCGTTCATTTGCAAGCAGTTTGATGCCAAGGAGTTTTCCGAAATGAAATCCCAGTATCCTTGGCCTTCATTGTGGTTGAGAGGCCTGCCTCCCCTTAGTGAAGTGCGGCATCCCAAACCTGCGATTGAGCAATGCGGCTTGCAAGTCGCGGGACTATGGTCGACCCAGAGTACTTTGGAAGGCAGTCGATATGTTTTTGCTTGTGATGCTTCTGGAGGACCAGGCGGCTCGGATCAAAGGCTCCTCGTGACGACTTGGTCCATAGGAGCCTATGCCTTGGTTGATGGACAACCAAAGAGGGTTGCGAGTGCCACCTGCTTGGAGGCGGAGCCCCTGACTGTGCCTCAGGCCGAACAGCGAGCTCTTTTTGAGTTGATGCATCGTGTCACTGGCGACTTTGATGCCACAACTGATTGCAAAAGTGTCAAGCAAATCTTGGGCAAGGCCAACCCACCGCAGGAAGGTGTTGTGCCATGGGGCACGATATGGCACGAGCGCAGTCGCATCCGCTTGCATTGGGTTTCTTCACATAAAAGTGCAGCTTACTTTGAAAAGCAGGGCTGGGAGCAGTGGAGGCGCCTCATCAACGAGGACGTCGACAAACTCTGCGGGGAAAGGGCTTCTCAGCATTTCTCGATCGCGCATGCGAAGTGGCTGAAGAAATGTGATTCCGTGGTGGAACAAGTCTGCTACTCCTTAGCGCGACGTGCTGGATTCATCATTCGGCAGAGAAAGAGCCCGGATTTCCCGTGGATTTTGAATAGGGGTGCTACTGATACTGCCCCTAAGCCCCTGGTTGTCCCTAACGCCGCCTTTGTTAAGCCCAGTCCTGCCAAACCCAAAAATGCAAAAAATCCGAAGTCCAAGAAGGGGGTTTCTGGTGATAAACCTGGTCCTGGCCCAAAAAATGGTAAGCCCTTGAACAAAAAACAACGCATGTTAGAAAAGTTGGCAATGCCTGAAGATCCTCTGGGTCACCAGTGGGTCAAAGGCGCTGAAGGACCTACCAACTTGACAATGAAATGCACCAAATGTGGACTGTACGTTCAGCAAATAGCTGACCCGGCAAGCTTCGACCGTCTCATGACACACCACTGCATTGGTGGTGGTGAGATTTTGAGCGAGTGGGGCATTCATGCAACACACAGTATGGTCAACATGGGTGTGCAGTGGTCTTGTTCCAAATGTGGGAGGCTGCAGCGCCCACAGTCGGCCGTTGGAGCGAAGCAGTTGCAGAAACCTTGTGATGGGAGAGCGGCTGTAAGCCAAATCGGTAAAGTGGCTCAAGGAGTGGGCAGCTCAACTTTGGATCAGTCGGGCCCTGCGGTGCCGAAAACGAAAGCTGCTACTCCTTTTGGGTCCACGCGTGACGCTGCTGTAACTCCTGAGGGACCAAAGCAGGCCGCTTTAAGCTTTGGGCAACCGGCTGTGGTTGTGACGCCAAAAAATGCTTGCAAACCCAAAGCCAAACCAAAACAAGCACAACTGACTTTCTCTTGAAAGCCGTGCTGGGCTGGTGTGCTGCTTTTGCGCCCTACGAGGCTGCATTAGCGCTACAGTCCTCGCATGGTGGTCCGTTCAGTGCGGCAAAGAGTGCAAACTAAATTGGTGAGCCTTCGTCCTTCAGCCTTGAAGATGCTTGTGACGCTATGCCTACTCACCAGACGTCTTAAGACACGCAGACTTCATTTCATGGACAAGGCAGGTCGGTGGTGTGGGCACTTGGCGTGCTCATGCGACCACCCGCTGCGCTGTGTACAGGTGGCGGTAGGCGGTAGGCTATAGCTGTATAAAGTGTACAAAGGCTGCTGTGGTAGTCTCCCAGGCTATGCTGCTTTCGCTTGACGACGAAACTCACCTTCAACTGAGGCCCAACTGTGAGGGCCCACTGTGTTTTGAGGGGCACGTGTGGTGGCTTGTGTGCATGTACCGTTGAATACGTCACTCCCACCACTGCCTCAGCTCCGTGGTCCAGCCTGGCTGGCTTGCGTGCAACAGCAAGACTTCACGGCCTCAGGGCTATGAAGTTTTGCTTCCGTAGCTAGGCTGTCAGATCCGTAGCTCTACTGGTAGTTGCTTAGCTTGTACAGTCTTGGCCTAGGAGCCGCGCTACTTCTTCGAGTGCTCGGAAAGAAAATCCCATTTGCCTGGTGAGGGCCAGGAACCAAAGCCTGGGGACACCCAGGACACCCACCCTGGTGAAAACCAGGATGAGCAAGCTGGTGAAAACCAGGAAGCTGAAGAAGCTGGTGGCCAACCAGCGGCAGCGTCCAGCAGCTCCTGGGAGAGACCTTCCAGCTCCTGGGAGCGCCCGGGTAACACCCCGGCAAGGCAACCCTTGTCGGACTACAAGAAGTGGTACAACCGCAACAGGCCTGGGAAAAAGGAAAGGATGGCAGGAAAGGTGACCAGAGGGGTGCCACCCCCACCAGGTGTGGACCTGCCCTCCAAGGGCAAAGACAAAGGAAAAGCCAAAGGAAAAGAAAAAGGGAAAGAGAAAGGCCCAGGCAAAAGCAAAGAAAAAGGGCCAGCAAAAGGCAAAGGCAAAACCCAGGTGCCGCCGAAGCCGCCACCAGCCAGAAAGCGCCCGGCGGCAGCAATGGAAGCAACCACGCCGGGCCCGGCGGAAGCTGCTGAGTACTCGTACTACAGCACAGAGTCGGAACCTGTGGTTCCCAAAGCTGGCACAGGGTCGGAACCTGTGGTTCCCAAAGCCGGGCCCACGGCGAGCTTCCTGAGCACAATACGGGAAGGAGCCAGGGCACGTGCCGGGGGCACAGCCCCGGCGCCGGGCGGCCCAGCTGGTGAACCCAGCTCCTCCTCATCCTCCAGCTCGCCCAAGCATAAGGAGGAGGAACAGAGCGAACCTGGTGAAGACCAGAAAGAGGAGGAAAGCCCAGCAGGGCAAGTGGATAGGCCAGACGGGGAGGCACTTAGCCCAACAGAGCCGGCGATGTCCCCGCAAGAGGCCCCACCCACCGTACCTGGTGACAACCAGGCAGTAAAGCAAGAAGAGCCGGAGCCTGAAAGTGCGGCCCTTGAACCTGGTGTGAACCAGGCAGCAGTAAAGGAGGAGAAGAAAGACTCTGAAAGCCTAGAGGAGGCAAGCCCACCAGCTCCGGTGGGTACCCCGGAAGGGAGCAGCTCAGAAGAGCCCAAAAGGAAACGTGAGCTCCCCCCGGGGCCAGGCATTACCGGTCCAGACCCGGACTATGGCCAAACGATGAAATTCTTCATCTCCATGAAAAAGAACGTGAAACCATGCCACAGCCGCTATGCTGAGGCATGTGAAGTTGAATACTTCAGCACGGAGGTCTCAGGGGTAACCAGGCTCGGCCTGGTGATAGTTGGCCTTGGTGGCTCACGAGTGGTCACGTTCACACCCCACAAGCCGGGGGTCGTATGGAAACTGTCGGTATACCCCCAAGACCAAGAAGTCTTGGTGTGCAAGGTCACGGGGGCCATGACTCCAGGCCTCGCCAAGCAAGCTGGTGTTCACCAGCTCTGTGAAAGAGGACCTGGTGCAGACCAGGAGCCCAAATGGGTCACCCTCATCGAGATGGAGGCGGTGCACCCAATACCGGCACAGCTCAGCACCTTTCAAGCCTTCCAGGCCTGTTTCACGGTGGCCCTCCTGGCGAAGATCCTCCTGGTGAAGGACATAGGGAAGGCCAAGATGGGCCTGAGGTTCACACAACCAGGACAGGCTGTACCGGAGATGGTGATGCTGGACGTGCTGGGGTGGGTCCCTTACCCTGAGGGAACCAGACCCCAGTGGCCAAACGTCCAGCGCCTCACTGGGTTCTGGAAATCCATCGACGACCCCTTGAGGGCTGAGCTAAAGCTGACAGTGATAAAGCATCACACGTCGCTTGAGAGCACCACGGTTGCTCTTAAAGAGCTGGCGAAGACCAAGCTCTCCAAGCCGGACTTTGAGTCCCTCATGAAAGTGCTGGTGGATACCAGCGTTTTGGCGGTAACGCCGGAGGGTTTGTTGGGCCAGCCCCTCCTCCCGGACGAGTACCGGCACGACCTGGTACGGGGAAAAACGTGGCTTATCCTCCCCTTTCCATAGGGACTGAGAGCCCAGGCTAAGGCCTGAACAACTCCAAACTGGTGCTACCAGTACCAGCCCTGCTGGTGAAAACCAGGCAACTGGTGCTCGTAGCAACCAGCCCAGCTGGTGTCTGGGCCAAAGAGCTCCAGCTGTAGGACCAAACCAGTCACCACGGCCTACAGAACTGGTGCCAGTAGTAACCAGCCCAGCTGGTGTAGCTCAAAAGGCTGGTGCTACTGACAAAGCTCTTCCAGCCCAGTGGAAGCCACTGGTGAGTAGAACCCACCAAAGGTGGGCAAAACCAAACCGCCTGTTTCACCCAAACCGCCGGCCGATGGCCTGGCAGCGACTTGTTCGCCCACGACGAGAAAATCCCATTTGCCGTAGCCATTTTGGCTCAAGTCTGGCTCGAGCCCTGCTTTCAGAGGTGGGTGTTCTGCGTAGGGAGCGTAGCTGTTTTCAACTGAGCCTCTGGGCCTTAACTGTCGTTGGGGCAACAGGACTCAAACAGGAATCCCAGCTTATCCTTTCGCGAGCCATACTTGTGCAGTGCTGGCATTTTGCCAGTCACTTTCCAGCGTGCAGGTGCCGGCCCTCGCCTCCAGGGCTGAGGGCTGTTCACTCGCCTCAGGGGCTGAGAGAACAGTCATGGCAGGAGGTAGGTACTATGTGTGCAAAACCTGTGGTCCTGCAAGCTGGATTTATGCCTCTAAAGTGCAGAAGTTTGCAAAGTGCAGTTGGTGTGGCAAGCCTTGGCCCGCTGATGTACCGCAGGCACCTTGGAGAGAACCTAGCAGGCCGCGACCTCGAACTCGGCAGCCGAAGCCAGCTAAGCTAGCAAGCTGCCTTCAGAAGGTGTGGTCCACCTTGCCTGCAGATGTGCGTTTGCAGTTTGAGCAGGCTGGCTTTAAAGTGCCGGCCCCGAAGCAGGAAGATGTTGACCTACTCAGCCTTTTGCAGCGCAACCGTGAGGATCTCCCCCAGGAAGTCCTGGATGCTCTGCCAGCAGCACCGGTCCCTAACCCAGTGCAGGAAGGCAAGGCTGCAGGTGTTGAGTGGCGCAACTCCGTCGGTAAGTTGCGCGACCTTGGCCAGCGCAAGCTGAAGCTGCAGGAAGACATTGACCTGGCCAAGGCAAACCTTAGGGCCATGCTGACGAAGATGCAAGATTTGCAGACCTCCATCCAGGAGGCACAGACTGAGGTCAATAAAGCCACTCAGGAGTATGAAACCAAGGTTCTCACGCAGTGCAATGAAGAGGCCAACCATGGAGTCGAGTCTGTGTTGCAGGCCCTGGGGATTCAGGAAGAGGCCCTTACGGAGGCCCAAAAGCGCAGTCTCGAAGCTCTCAAGAAGGAAAACGCAGACGAGGCCAAGCGCCGCAAGACCCAGCAGCAGGAGCAATTCCCGCCGGGATTGGCTCCTCAGTTGCGCTCGGCGGCCCATGTCACTGAGGCCAACAAGGAAGCCGAAGATGCCAAAGGGCCGCCCAGCCAGCCAGTCAAGGAGCGCAGCCGGTCGCCCAAGCGTGCAGGCGAAAAATCCGATGATATTTAGGGTCTCGGTGGGGGGTTGCGCCAGGGTTCTGGGTTTTGTCTTCCGGTTCTTTCTCTGAGTGAGGTTTTGCGTGACTTGGAAATTTCGGAGCCTAGCGCAAGCCCTGACGCGTCACCTGTGCCCTATTTCAAGTGCTGGTACTGTGGCCTCCCGTTCGTGCCAACAGCCGTGGGAGTCCAGATTTGCAGCTGCAGTGCCGGAATCCATGTTCGATCTTCACCAACTGAGGCTCGGGCCAGCATTTGTCGTGCTGACGTGAGCCTGGTCGGAGCCTCACCTCAGGGTTCGAGGCTCCTGCCGACTCTGTTTGACCAGCCAGAGCAGCTAGCTGAGGGGTTTGCTTATCCCAAGGTTGTGGGACGACCCGTGTGCCCCCCCTCTAGCTGCCCACTGACTGGACCCAAGTTTTTCCACTCTGCCATTTTCTCTGAGCCAGCTGACTGCAAGCCACATGAACCATGGGACCGCAAGAAACCTTTGTTGTGTCGTGGACCGATCATGCCCTTTTTGGAACGACACGGTTCCCACTATGATTCTGCAATCCAGTCAACAGGGTCGGCCGAATTGTCCGTTAACCCTTCAAATTCCACAATTCCGCCGATCCACTCAACAGGGTCGGCCGAATTGTCCGTTAAATACTCAAAATCCACAATTCCGCCGAGCCCATTTGAGGTGTTCCAGGGTGAGCCAGGGTCTAGTCCACCCAGCTGGGGCTGCATGCTAAACTTGAGTGCATATAAAGCTTTGCATCCTGCCTGGAACCAGGAGCCTGACCTTTTGCACCTCGGCGAAGGGCTTGAGGAGCAATGCCAGGAGGGCACCTTGGAACACTGGGTCCTTTTTAAGTCTTTGGAGGCCACCGAGATTCAGGATCACAGCCTTGAGACCTGGGCCCGCATCGCTCGTGCTTCTGAGGACTTAGTTCACTCCTTTTCCTCGGGTCAGCCTCGTACTTTCAAGTTTGTCTCGGCAAATGTGACTTCCTGGAGACCTGAACTTAGGCAGTGGCTGGTCTTTCACCAGTTTGATGTGGCCTTGATTCAGGAGCACCACCTTTCGGAGAGGGCCTTTCATGCTGAAACGGTGGCCCTCGCCAAGGCAGGCTACCATGTCCATGGCCAGCATTCCCCTGTTCGCAAGCGGGAGATTGGGGGTGTGATGGTGTGTGTTAAGTCGCATTTGCAGGCCAGACACGTTCACACTTTTCAGGATCCTGAAACGGGCTGTGGTTTCGTAGCTATCGCTATTCGGGTGACGGGTTTCGACCTAGCCCTCTTGTCGCTGTATCTTGAATCAGGCAGCACTTTTGAAGGCCGGGCCAATACCTTAGTCCTGTCCAATATGTATGCAGTGATTGCCTCGCTCAAGTGCCCGTGGTGCGTGGTTGGAGACTGGAACCTAGATGCTTGTGAGGTCCTCGCCACCAGGCTTGAGGACCTCACAAAGGGTCGGTTACTTGGTACTGGGATGCCTACTGCAGGCACCGCAGCCGAGCTGGACTATGCACTGGTCCACCCCCGGTTGGCCTCGCATCTTTCGCTTGAGCTTGCCTGGGATGTTCCCTTTAAGCCCCATGCGGCGCTTAAGTGCACCCTTCCTCTTAAGTCTTTGCAGGACCTCCAGCCAAATTTGCGCTCCATCACTGACTCCTTTGACCCTATTCTTGACGACCAGCGCAATTTGCAACCCCCGGTTGTGTCACCGCAGAGGGTCACCCTCCTGGAAATCGAGGCTTGTGACCCCGCCTCCCTCGCCTTTGCGGAGTTTTCTGCCACCGCTGAGGCCTCAGGTTTACTCGGTAGGACCATGGGCAGGGGGGTAAACTTGCCGACGATTCGTCAGCCGGCCGTGTCGCAACCCCCCAATGACT